CCCTCTAGTTGCCAAAGCCTTGGACCCAGGGTAGGTGAGTAGGGGGTTGGGATAAGGTATGGAAGGTGAGGGTCTCACTGGGCCCAGAAAGGTTGGGGGCCTGTTATTTACTCCACCCTCAGGTTCCAAAAAGACAGTTGCTTCCTTCCCCAGTCTCTGAAAAGCCTTGGGGTTGGGCCTTAGTGCCCTCAGGGACAGGGTTAAGGCAGAATAGGGTCAGACCAACAGGAAGGTTATGGAATTGACTAAGGGTCAAGGGGTTGAGCTAAAGGCCAGTCAAAGGTCAGCTCCTGAGGCCCAGCTAGGCCGAGACCCACATAAGACAAGGGCCAGCCTATGGTCAGGATGCCAAAGCGTTGAATCTTATTCTATCCAGGGAAAATGGGTGCTGGACTTGGGTGTGTGCCCTCCACTCCTCGATCTCCCTCACCAGGCAGACACGTTGCGAGGGAGGCGTCTGTGGCGGGGTTGATGGCGGCAGTAGCACTTGCAGGGGCAGGAATTAAGCACCTCGAAAGGTGGCCAGTGGCGCACTGCACCCTTGTTAGGGGCACCGGCTGTGGAGGTTCCGCTGCTGCTACCGCCACCCCCTCTGTTGCTGTCAGTCACCGGATTTGAAGTCAGTTCTCGAGGACCGTCTCCAGATATAACCTCTTCACGGATCACACCCCGGGCCGCTCGGGGACCTTTGTTCTTGCGTGTACGAATCTTGGTGGGTTGAGGCACTGGCGGTGGCTCAGCAGGAGGAGTTGCTGGAGCTGGGGATGTGGCCGGAACAGGGGTCGGGAGCGGGGGCGGGACCTGGTCGGCGGCCGCGGTAGAGGGCAGAGAGGGAGGAGGGGTGGGAGCCAAGGCTGACTCCGCCTGGCCAGGGCCTGGAGTAGGCGGACGGGCCACCAGTATCGGCGTCCTCGGGAGCGCTGGTGGCTGTGGTGTGGGTGGAGGCGCCGGTGGCGGAGTGGTTGGTGGTGGTGGTGGCGGTGGCAACGGAGGTATCTGCTGCGGACCTGGAGGCACTGAGTATACAGGGTCGCTATTGGTGGGCGCTGGGAAGATGAACATGGGTGGCGCCAGCAAGGCAGGTGAGGTTCTCCGGGGCCCTGAAGCTGGATGCGTCTGACCTGACTTTGATGGAGGGGAGCCCCATGGCCCTGAGAGTGTGGTTGTGCGCCTTCGGGGTGCCCCGATTCCCCCTGCAGCCCCGTTGAATCGGAAGTGCCGTTCAGTGCCATCGGGAGGGCTCACCCAGTCGAATTTGGGCTTTGAACCTGGGAAGGTGGTGTAAGGGGGTGGTGGTAGAGCCCGGGCAAGGGGAGCAGGCGCCGAAGGGGGACCAGAACACCCTTCGCCATCTCCATCACCGCCCTCGGTTTCCTGAGCTGCACGAGGGACCTCTCCCATGGGACGAGTGGCTCCAGGAGGTTGGGGCCCTTGCTTCAGGACCTCGGCATAAGAGATGGCCCCCGACGAGGCAAACAGTCCTCCGCCACCACCGGCCCCAACTGAGGGTTTGGCTGCTAAGGGGGCCGAGGCTGATGCGGGGGACAAGTGGGGCCCGGACTTGAAGGTGACTTTACACAGCAGACTCAGGCCGGACTCAGAAGTAGCAGACCGAGCCATTTCGCCCTCTCCGACTTGGGGTGGCGCCCCTCCGCGGGCTCCCCCGGCCGCCTGACCCTCGCTGCTATGCCTGACCTGGCTTTCTGTGGGGCTTGTGGCCGACGAGGCCAGAGTGATTCTCCGGCTAGGGGGCTGCGGGTCGCAAGGCGGAGGTGCTGGAGGTAGCTGCTTCCGAGGCTCTAGGAGCGTCGGAGGTGGGGCTGGGGCCTTCGGGACCGGTTCTTTTTCGGTCAGTTGCCGGGGCAGCGGTGGCAGCGGGCGGAGGCTCGGAGGGTCACCCTGACCACGATGGCTCGCCTCCAACAGGCCGCGGATCCGAGGCACTGCAGTGCCCGTGGGTTTTCGCCACTTAGATGGCGCGGGCAGCAGGGACCCCACGGGGGGCGGGGGTGGTGTGGAGACCGCCGCCGTAGCCGCCTCCTCTGGAGGGGGTGTCACTGGTGAGGGCAGTTCTAAGGTCAGGGGCAGGGGCGAGGGTGAGGCCTGGGGCTCCGGGGGTATCAGGAGTCCCGGGGGCCCGGAACTGCCAGGGAACCAGACGCCCAGCCCTCGAGCCAGGCGCATGGCTGGGGATGAGGGGGTCACCTCGGGCTCCACCAGAGGCGTCCTGCGGGAGTCGGATGCGCGGTCTGAGGCCTGCTCTTTACGGGAGCCTCCGCCTGCGGAAGGCTCCGACTGCACATTCCCCATTTTCGACGGAGGTCGGAGACTGTGGTTAAATAAACTTCCACCAGTCAGTCGGCGGGTTCTGCGGGGACTCCACGGCTCAGGCTGTTCTTGGACTGTGCCTGTCTGCATTGGTGTGTCCGGTCCTCCAATATTCTCTCAGCCCCGGTCTCCAGTTCTCCGATTCATCATGGCCACGCCCACTTCCCCATAGTCTCAAAAGCGGTTCACTCTTCGAACCCAACTTCTTAACGTACTAAGGTGCCAACCCTGACTCCTTGGTTGCTTAGATCACATCCCTAACACTTTAGCCACACCCGGGATTTCAAGGCTTCGGGGTCAGTTCTCGCCAGCCTCTTTGTTGAGTTTTAAACCACACCGGTAATGATGGTTATGCCCAGAAGCCAACAAGGAATTCAAGTTTCTATCCTAACACTCTAACCAAGTCCTTGAGGCCTAAGCCCCGCCCCCGATTGTCAAGAAATCGGCCGCATCCTCATCCCGCCCCAACCCGCGTCAGGTCTGCTTCTGCCTAACAAATACAAGGGACTGTAGTCTAACTAATCCCCCAGTCCTTCAGTCCTAACCCTCCGATCACCCACCGTCTCTCTTTGTCGATCATTTGGATCCCTCCCTCTTCTCAGCCAGCAGCAAATCCTCAAGTCTAAACTTTTCCCGCTCGGCGTTTGTGACAGCTCTTAATTTAGGCTCCACCCCCTTTCCTCAAGCTCCGCCCCGGCTCCTTCGCTCAGTAGACCCCACTCACCGACTCCTACAGCCGGCCAAAGATCAGACCACGGCCCCGTGGACCAGGGCAGGGCGGGGAACGGCCGTAGCAGAAAATAACCGAAAAGAACGAGTGTGCGGGTGAAGGCAAGTGGGCGAGACAGCGAGGACGACCCCCAAGATCTAGGCCCCGCCCCAAGCTCGAGGCCACGCCCCCGTGGGCCAGCTTGAGCTCAGTCCTTCGAACCTAGCTCATCCTTAGAAACAGTAGAGTGTCTTCCCGAAGTGCAGGCCCCTTTGCCTTATGCCCCACCCCCTTATAATGCCCCGCCCCTCTCCTTTAAATACCTCCCCGGACCCCGCCCATTGCGAACACTGCTACGTGGCTCCTCCTTTTAGGCCTCGTATCTGACCTGCCCCTAAGGAAATTTATCTCCAAGATCCGCCTTGCTCAGTCTAGGCTGCATCTCTTTCCAAGGCCCTGCCTTCACTCGGACGGCTCAGAGGGCCCACCCTCCCGCCCCTTCCGTGATGCACCCTCTCAGTTCCTTCAGCGCCCAAGCCTCTCCTTACTCAGGCTCCCAGGCCCCGCCTCTTTTCGAACCCTGCCGGGCTTCCCGCCCCTCCCATTCAAAGCCCAGACCGTGGACCACTTTTCTAGAACCCGAAGATCAGGCCCTATCTCTATTCCCTTCTCACATCATCAGGGACCAACCGTTCAGATAAGTGGAAAAGTAGGGGATTCCCCTCAGGGTCCCTAGAAAATGGGGGCTATAAGGGGTGTTCGTTATAGCCCGAGCCGGGCTCTAGGACCCAGCGGGCAAGTACGCCCTCTTTGCTCCTACCCCTCCCCCAAGCCGCCCCCTCCCCCCCACGTCTTCCAGGTTCCCCCTCCCTCCCCCCCTCGCCCCGTCTCCCGGTGCCCGTCTCTAGCGCCGCCGGAACCAGCGAGGGAGCGGGAGCGAACAGGAGGAGGAGGAGGAGGCCGCGTCGCCGCCGCTCGGAGCCCGGCCGGAGCCTCCCAGGCAGGTGCCCAGAGCGGCGAGGGGGCGGGGGGCTGACGAGACTGCCTGCCCGGGTGAGGGGGCAGCTAGGACTGCAACTGCACCCCTCTGCCCACCCTTGCTCCCCGCGGATACAAGCTGGGAGAACAAGAGGGGTGGGGGCCCCAATCTACGCGGTAGCCATTTGGGGTACCAGTTTCCATTTGGGGGTCCTGGACTTCTTCCGAGGATGCCCCATTCACAAAATTCCATCGTGGACCCTCGCCATTGAGGAACTATGAGGACTACTCTCCCTGGGAAAATAGATGTGTGGGAACGTAGGACATCCCAAGATCTCAGTGCCCCATCTCAACTAGGCCTTTGGGGGGACCCCTGCCCTCTTTCCCTGCTTCACCTGTTGTTGGGGGAGGCGGGCGGACAAAGGAAGCAGTGTCACGTGACTGCTCATTCACAAAATCCCATCCCATTGAGAAAAGGGGGCTGGGGGCGCTGTGGCCGCCCCTTCCCCTCCTGAAAGGCTGGGGAAACCCGACAGCTTGCAGGTGGGGGAGGGGGCTAGAACTCGTTGCCTGGGTCCCTAAGGTTGGGACTTCAGGGTCTCTGAGCTGGGGGCAGTGGGGCTGGGTGCTAATTCTGATTGCTGGGCGGAGGGCTATATCCCCTAAGCTGGGGGCGGGGTAAAATGTTTCTGAAGGATTGGTGGGGGGGGGGATGGATAATTATCTCCCCCTCCCATCTGTCTTCTTTGGCGTCCCTTAACTGAGACCAAAGGGAGCAACCTTGATTTTTGTGAATGAAATGCTCTTTGGATCTTTTCGGTAGCCGGTTGCTGGCTTTCTCTGCCTCCATCTCCTTCTCGGCCTCTCTTTCTGGCCATTTCTGGTTCTCTCTCTGCTCCCTGCCCATCTCCCGGTTGCTGGGTGACTCAGTGAGCTTTGCATCCGGTCTCATTCATAAATCCGGGAAAGGGTGGGGGGAAAGAGCCAAGGTTTCTCACCCAGCTAGTGGCCTGGGTGACTGGGGTGCGGAGGCAGTGTTGGGGGCACTGAAGCTGAGTTGATGGGTCCAGAGAAAATAGATGTGCGCAGGAACCCAGCTGTGAGGGGGACAATGGGTGGGGCTATGGGTTTGTGATGAGAGAGAGAGAGAGAGAGGGAAGGAGACTGGGGTTGAGGGGAGAAGCAGTAGGGGGAGGGGAAGTGGCAAACCCAGGCTATGAGGGTGGAGAGGGGGGAAGATGCTGAAAAGGTGGGGATGGTGAAAAAAAGGTAGATATGGAAAAGCTAGGTGGGCACAAGATGTCACCAAGAAGAAAGTGGGTAAGGGGTGGAGGTACTGGAGGCTTGAGGGTGAGGTAAATTCAGAGGTGGGAGATAAAGAAGAGGGCAGGGTTAGAGGAACGCTAAAATCGGGAGGAAGATTTGAGTTCACGGCCTGTGTTCCTATCCTTCCCACCTCCTCCAGGTACATGGTGCGGGTCCGAGCCGTGGTGATGGCCCGAGATGACTCCAGTGGGGGCTGGCTGCCTGTGGGGGGCGGGGGCCTCAGCCAGGTGAGCGTATGTCGGGTCCGAGGGGCCAGGCCCGAGGGGGGGGCCCGCCAGGGGCACTACGTCATCCACGGGGAGCGGCTTCGGGACCAGAAAGTGAGCCACCCTGGGGTGTGGGAATGGGATGAGCCCTGGGGAAGGAGGGAAGGATCTGGGAAGGGGGGGACAAGGAGAGATCTCATTGTCCCTCTACCACTGGGATTCAAAGTGGGCCTTGGGATGGTTTTTGGAATGAATACCTGGTTTGTGAATTAAGAGCTGGAATTTGGGGGTGGGATGGGGGTATTGGGAAACGTGTCCACTGCTTCTCTGGCTATTCTGTCACACAGCTACTTCGGTAGTGGCCTTCCTGCCCTGTTCCTGCTTCTCCTCCAACCTTGGTCTTTCCACAACGACCCAGCTCACACCCAGCTCACATCCTGTCCCTTCTCTGCTCAGAACCCTCTTCTGGCTCCATCTTGTTCAGAGATGCCCTCCTACCAACTGGCCCTTGTCTGCCCTAAGTATCTGGAGGCATTTGTGGGGTCTGCTTAGAAGTGTCACATATGGTTGACAGTCCTATGTCACATGGTTCTAATCCCAGCACTAGGGACACTGGCAGGAGGATTGTGAAGTTACAGGACAACCTGGGCTAGGTTGTGAAACCTTTTTTTCAAAAGAAAGCTGGGGTAAGGGATGCATTGCGAAGCAGAGCAGGAACAGTGTAGAGGAGTGTTGGTATCAGACAAGTCCGTGGAGGAAACACCCAGGGGTGGTCAGCATCGAGTGGTTAGAAGGTTGGTATCTCTGTGTGGAAGGTTAGAATCTCTGGGCCAGTTTCCGGGGGATTATTGAGGCATCAGAAAGGAGCTGGTTGTAATATTTTGATATTCAGTAAAATGTGAATAATTCTTCTTCTTCCATCAGAACAGGAAATGTTAGGTTATGAGAAAAGGTTAATTTTTTTTTAACATTTAATAAGATTCAAGGTTCCTACTGGGACATCAGAGGAAAAAAATTAGATAAGTAGAGAAATCAAAGGATTGAGGGGATGTTGCAGAACAGAGACATGTCCCCTCCAATTAGGGTAGTTAGTTTGTGTTTAGGTACATCTGCTGTTGTGAATGAAGTAGTTGGGGTGTAGAGAGTGGCTGGGCTTGAAGGTCACAGGCATGGCTAGGGTGGTGTGACCTAGTCCCTTGCCGCCCCTCAGATCACCTTGGAGTGTACCCTCAGGCCAGGTTTGGTTTACAACAAAGTGAACCCTATCTTCCACCACTGGAGCCTGGGTGACTGCAAGTTTGGGCTGACGTTTCAGAGTCCTGCTGAGGCTGATGAATTCCAGAAGGGTCTTCTAGCTGCGCTGGCCGCACTCAGCCGAGGTCAGTGGTGTAGGCACAGGTGCCCAGGCTGGGGAACAGACATAGGAGAAGCTGGGGTCTGGGAACTCACTTCTGCCTCTCTCCCTGTTCTAGGCTCACTCACTCCGTCCTCTTCCTCTTCCTCCTCCTCCCCTTCCCAGGACACTGCAGAGACCCCCTGCCCTCTGACGGTGAGTCTTAGGGTCTGCCATGGGTGTGTGTGGGTGGTTCTAGTCTACAAATATTCCTGAATACTTGCTGTGGAGCTGGCAGAAGGCCACATACTGGGAACATAAAATCAGGCCAAAATTGATAGTGGCAATTCAATCCTGGATGTTTTAATTTTTCTGGTCTTTTATATGTATCTATCAATTTATTTTTAGTTAGGGTCTAACGTAACCCAGGCCAGCCCCAAAGCTGCATATGTATCTGAGGAATGACCGAATGACCTTGGATTTAGATCCCCAGAGTGCTGGGATTCCTGGTGTGTGTCACCAGTGTGGCTGGCTTGCTTGTTCTCTCCTCTTTCTTCCTTTTCTTGGGGGTGGGGTGTGGAATGGTGGCAGAGGTTCTCACTCTGTGGCCTAGGCTGATCTGCAGCTTGGATCTTCATACATGGTGGGATTACAGTGGTACACCCTCAAAGCCCGGCTCAGTTTTTCTCTGCTGTTGTCATTCATACATATGTTCAAGGGTGCTGAAAAAGCACCAGGAAGTGTTTTAGGCACCAGGGATATTTTTATTAGCAAACAAAACAGCAAACTTCCTTTTTTTTTTCTTGGTGCTTTAGTCCAGTGTGAAAGACAGAGGAAAAAGATAAAACATAAGAAGCAATGAACTTTAAAATAAATGCACAGACAAATCAATTAATTCTTCTTCTTCTTCTTCTTCTTCTTCTTCTTCTTCTTCTTCTTCTTCTTCTTCTCTTCTTCTTCTTCTTCTTATTTTGAGACTGGGTTTCTCTGTGTAGTCCTGCCTATAGACTAGGCAGGCCTGAAACTCAGAGATCCACTTGCCTCTCCTCTGCCTCCCGGGTGCTAGGATTAAAGGCGTGCGCCACCACCACCTGGCTATAAATTAATAATTTTATGATCTAATTACTGCCGAGCTGTGGGCTTGAAGTCATCCTTGATGCCATCGTTTTGTTTTTGTTTGTTTGTTTTCCTTTTTAGGCAGGGCCTTATTATACAGCCCAGGTCACGTGATCCAGGGACTGATGGTGTGGGCTCTTGTGTGCCCCTGTGAAGGCTTTTTCCTTTACCTTGAATGATGGAGCCATAGAAGTTTCTGAGTGAGGGAAGGGTGTGCTATCCGTAAACCATCAGTAGAATCTCCTTGGCTCTGCTGGGGAAACTGATGGTAGGAGTCAGGAGAGGGCTGAGCATGAGAAGCTGTGGCGATGGTTCTGTCAGGAGATGAAGTCAGCGAGGACCTCGTGACCCATCTCAGTTTCCCAAGTGTGGGGTTACAGGTGTGCACCTGCCTGCCTGGTGCTTGGGCTTTCCTGCTTCCCAAAGACTCTCACAATATTGGTCCTGCTTTTCCCCTTTGTGTGTGTGTGTGTGTGTGTGTGTGTGTGTAAGAGAGGGGGGGGAGAGGGAGAGAGAGTGCTTTGCTTGCATGTATGTCTGTGCATCTACTTGTGTGCCTAGTGCAGGCACTACAGGAGGTCTGACAAGCTGTTAGCTCACCCTGGAATTGTGTTAATCTGATTGTGAGCTGCCATGTGGGGACTAGGAATCAAACCAGGATCCTCTGAAAGAGCAGCCAGTGCTTTTACCTGCTGAGCCATCTCTCTAGCCCTCTAATTCCTTCTCTCTCTCTCTCTCTCTCTCTCTCTCTCTCTCTCTGTATCGGCACTCAAACTCAGAGTCTTGTTCATGCTAGGCAAGTACTCTACCACTGAGTGACAGCCCTAGCCCAGGTTCTACTTTCAAAATGACTAAATCTGCTTTCCATCCAATAATGTCCAACGTCATCTCCCAACTGAAGGTCTCCATGGCTTCTCCTTGTCACTGTCTCTCCTGACCCCTAGAACAAACCCACATGGGTGGGGGGGCAAGGTGCTCTTAACAATAGCTGAGTCAGATCGCACCCTTTCTCCGCTCAGAACCTTCCCATGACTCCCCCACTCAAGGTGGCACATGACACCCATCTGGGCCTGGGCTGGCCCTCCCCTCTCCCTGTCGTAGTCACACCAGACTCCTCACTGTCATTGCAATGGGGTTGACACATTCCTGGTGGAGCCCTTCTGTCTAGAACACTTCTTCAGTTTTCCATCTGCCTTTTTATCATTTCTTCTGAGGTGCTCTACAAATGTCTTCTTGGTGGCTTCACTGAACAACCTATTTAAAACTGTATTTTCAGATTGGGGATTCAGCTTGTCTAGCGTAGACAAAGCCCTGCCTTTGATTCTTCAGCTGGCATCTGTGATCCCAGCACTAGGAAAGTGGAGGCAGGAGGATCTTAATTCAAGGTCATCCTTCGGCTATTTTACAAGTTTGAGGTTGGCTTGGAATACATAAAACTCCTTCCCCGGCTGGACATGGTGATACATGCCTTTAATCCCAGCATTTGTGAGACAGAGGCCGATGGAGCTCTGTGGGTTTGAGGCCAACCTAGTCTACAGAGTGAGTTCTAGGACAGCCAGGGTTACATTAAGAAAACCTGTCTCAAAAACAAAACAAAACCTTTGTGTGCCCCTCCACCCACCCCTGCCACCCCAAGGGCAATCTCCAATGTCCCTTATTGGATTCTAACCCCCTCTCCCACCTTCTAAGACAGTTTTCTTATCGGTAGGTTCCCTGCCTATCCTCCATGCTAGCACATCAGCTCCAATAGGCCAAGGATCTTTTGCTAGATCCTTGCTACTCATCCAATCCCTGAAACAGTGCCTGGCACACATTAGGCGTTCAGTCAACGGGGTGAATGATGGATGAGATGATAATGAATGAGGCACAGAATGCCCAGATGCATTTGGGGAGTGCTGAGAATACCGGGAGCAACAAAACTAGTTCCTCAGGTCAATGAAACTGTCAAGGTCATAGGGGATGGAGGTGGCTTTCTGGCAGTCACACACAATGTCTGTCTAGGGGCTCTTCTTCAAAGCTGGAAGCTGCAGAGTGACCTTTGTGTCTGGCATGCCGTGGTGCTCGGCGGCTGTAGACGGAGGGCTGTGAACGGCTAAGTGGGAGTTATGTTCAGGTTACAGGAAAAGAAGCGGAGGGCCTGGGGAGTGGGCTTGCAGCTAGTGAAGTGGGGGCCTGGTTTGGGTGGAAGCAAGATGTCTGGGCAGAAAAAAGATCTTTTTGAACTGTAGTGAAAATGAAGCAGGAATGTACTGACTGGCCAAGGAAGAGGTGCTTGCTCCTTCAGGTTAGGGCTTCTGGGAGGGGAGAGGGTGGTGGATGGCCTGTAGGCTGGTGATCTGAGCAGTTCATTAGGAGTCCTGGAGAAATGATACCCATATCCGGAGTCAGGTGGCAGGCACCTAGAATCCCAGCTACTCCTGAGGGAAGGCAGGATGATCTAAGTTTGAGGCCTGATCTAAGTGAGATTCTTAATAAATAACCAAGGTTGTGGGTGTGGCATGGTGGAATCCACCAGCGAGGGTCTGGGGGCGTGGCTAAATGGTAAAAAAAAACGCTAACCCAGAGACAGCTGTTGTCTAGGAGCCCTGGTGAGGGACCATCGAGGCTCTGTTGACCCTTTAAAATAGATGTTGGCCCCTTGCAGTGTCCTAAACAAATCCTTGTGAATGAATTGTGATGACCCCCCCACCACCCCCATTTTACAGAGGAGAACTCTGAGGCTCAGACATAAGCTCACTTGCCACACAACCAACTGGTAGGTGACAGAGCAGAGGTTTGAGCCCAGGCCTCCTGATTGCAGAGCCCTTGCTCTCCGGGGAAGGAGGGTCTATGTAAGGGCTTCATCTTTGGTTGGAGAACTCCCTGCTCTAAGGCCCCTCCAATCTCCCTCAGTCCCACATAGATAGCGACTCCTCCTCCAGTCACAGCCGCCAGGAAACTTCTCCCACAGCTGTCGCAGCGCCCATTGTCACGGTGGAGTCAACAACTGCCTTCCCACCGGCCACTCCTCCACAACAGTGCTGCTCCTCTGCTCAGGTAAGGCTTCCCCGACCCTCAGCAAATCAAATCATCGTATAATCAAATAGAATTGTACTGCTCCCTAAACTGACCCTAGCTGAAACGCAACTGAATGAGAGGGGACACAGATCCCAGGAAATGGCCATCCTGATTTAGTTGTCCGTGGAAGTGAAACAGAGACCTGGGTTTGGGGCTGGGGGAGTAGTTCAGTGTTAGAGTGTCATATAGAAGGTGCTGGAGATGCTGAGTTCAAACCCCAGTACTGGGGCAGAAAGAAAGATGCCTGGACTCCTGAGAGCGGGTAGGAGCTTTCAAGTGTCAATAGTCTTCTGGGAGATTCGAGGATTGTCTACTTCATGCAGGGACTCGAGGGAGGACATGCACAGATTTCCAAACATGTTAGAAGATGCTGGAACTCATGGAAGGACTCCTTAAGACTGTTTCCTTTCTCCTGAAGGAGGGGCAGGGGGTTGAGTGTGAATGAACTCGGCAATCTTGAGCCACGGGGTGCCTACATTCATCTGTCACTGAGGGCATAGGCCAAAAGTCTAAAGCCTGAAACCAAGAGAGTTTTGGGGGAACATAGTCCCTCTTGACTGATGCCTGTTTCTATATCCTGGGATTTTGGGTCTTCTGAACCTGGTTAGCCTATGGGGATTTTGTGAGTTGCAGAAGTCCCTAACCTGATCTCTTATGTCCCTTGGCTCTGCAGAGCTACCCTCCACTTCTACCGTTCACTGGTATTCCAGAAGCCTCAGAGTCTCTAGCCGGGGCAGGGAGCCAGGGCTGGGGCGGCCGGGGCTATGAGGACTACCGGCGATCTGGACTACCGGCATCTCTTCCTCTGTCTACCTGTGTCGTGGGCTTCGTCAAGACTGGTGCATTGAGGGGTGCAGCCCTGGGTCCCCCAGTGTCACTCCCTGCCCCTCTCACTGAGGCTGCACCCCCAGCACCTCCTGCTCGTCCACCCCCGGGTCCGGGCCCCACCTCTGCTCCAGCCAAGGCCTCCCCTGAGGCAGAGGAGGCTGCACGTTGTGTGCACTGCAGAGCACTCTTCCGCCGCCGTGCCGATGGTCGTGGTGGCCGCTGCGCAGAGGCCCCGGACCCAGGTCGCTTGCTAGTGCGCAGGCTCAGCTGCCTGTGGTGCGCCGAGAGCTTGCTGTACCACTGCCTGTCGGACGCCGAGGGCGACTTCTCGGACCCGTGCGCTTGTGAGCCAGGCCACCCACGCCCTGCTGCACGCTGGGCCGCTTTGGCTGCGCTGTCGCTGGCAGTGCCCTGCCTCTGCTGCTACGCGCCCCTGCGCGCCTGTCACTGGGTTGCAGCACGCTGTGGATGTGCTGGCTGTGGGGGTCGTCATGAGGAGGCTGCTCGGTGAGGATCCCTGGGCTGGTTTGAAAATCGGCCTGAAGACCCAAAATGGAGGATCCAGGACCCTGAACTTCATACGAACCTAAAACCCAAACTTAGGTACGTCTGGAACTTGGAGCTTGAATGGATTTGAGAGATCCCAGATCTGGTACCTGGAAACCAAACTTAGCACTAAGATCCCATACCCAGCTTCATCAGGATGTCTGTCAAGCGCACCCAGGAGTCCTGAATTCTGGATTCTCCCTCCCTCTTCCTCATTGAGGAGAATCGTGACATCTCCAAACATCTAAGAGGGCCCAGGAGTTCACACCCCTGAGACCCAGGGATCTTGGACCCGATTCTGTCTAAATACCCAACCCAGACTCCAGGTCATACTTGACATTGTTAACACTCATATTACAGCCCCCAAATTAGTCAGGATTTGCTAAAACCTGACCCTTTATCAAATGACTTAGACCTTGAGACCAGAATCACCAGAAAACTGTCCCTGGATTTTCACCCGAGACCTGCTATGCCTACATCTGAATGTTCTTATAGCCCCAGGACCCGAAAACACCAAATCCTTCTGGGTTAGAGACGCTCACCACATACTGACCTGAAGTCTACCCACTCCCGAGAGTCCACAGATCTCACCATCCGTTCATGTGCAAATGACTCAGATCCCCTCGCTCCCCAGACTTCAGATGCACCAGGTCCTCAGATAGCCTCAAACACGAGGTGTTTTCTGACTAAAATAACTTGGGAGGCCCTTTTCAGAGCTCAGCAAGAGTCCAGATATTAGATACCAAGTTGTCCTGGGAGCCAGGGCCTGAACACCTACCTGCCCCTCAAGTTTTTGAGAACTTGGGTCTCACAGACGGTCTCTGAGGTTCCTGGTCCCCTCAGTTGTAAGGCTGAAGGCCACCAGCACTTTGGCCCCAATGCACTGGTTTCAAGTGCTTGGATAGCCTTCCAGTTTCCTTGGGGCCTGAATTTTAAGAACCCAAATGTTGCCGGAGACATTAGTTTCCTTCTCCCTGCATTCCCTAATTCCCTTCCATCTGGGTGGGAGCTGGGATTTCAGAAGATGCAGTGGTCATGGTAACCCAGGCCTCTCATCCCTTCACTCAGCTCTAGAGCAATCCCAAGGTTCTTTAAGAGCACTGGGATACCAATCGACCCCTAGGTGCAGGATTCGAGCCCTCACAATCTTGATTGTTTTTGGCCTGAGACCTTGGTCCCTCTATACCAGAGACATTCAGAAACAAGAAGCCCCAGGGCCTGCACCTTTAGATGCCAGATTTTCTTGAATTCAGAGTACTTTGAGACTGATAAAGCCCCTAGATACCTCATCACCCGATCCCCCTGAGTTCTGCCATCCAGAGGGCCATAAGACCTCCAAGTCCCAGCAACACGGGTCGCCACTTTATCCTGGGGGGACACTTGTCACCAGTGTGAATTCAGATTGCTGGAATCCTGAACCACCCAGCAGTGTTCCTGTGCCACCTCTAGGGCCTGGCATTGCCACAGAGGATTGTACAAAGTTGCTAAGCAGAGGCTGGCAGCTGCAGGGGTCAAGCAGAGACATCAGAGGGAGGCTCCCCCTTCTCTGCTTGCCACAACAGTACCTTTAGAGTTGGCTTTTGCTCCACAGAAGCCCCATCATCCCTAACCTTGAAAATCTCCCTGCTGCAACCCCTAGTTTGTTCGGGTCCATCTCTTTGTCAACCTCTTCTATCTCAGTTGGGAGTGGCTCTGGAACGTTCAGCACCCTTTCATGGCACTCCCCATGCTTTTCTTCTGGAGAAGAAGGGGGTGTCCCACTGTACATAGGATCTGGTGTCCTGGATAGAGAAACCAAGGTCTCCCAGCCAGGACAGTCTTGATGGTTTATGGGCTTAGGACTACACCTGGCCCTAAGTACCTGGGAATGTGCACTTAACCATTCCTGATTATCCAGGTTTGGGTGGCCTTGTGGGGATTCAAGGGATTAATATTTGTGCCACTTCCTTTAAATTATTAACTATTTATTGTATCCGGAACCTGTGATTCAGCTCTCCCAACCAGACCCTGGGATGGGTGAGAGAAATGGGGACAGGGGGTGTCCCTCCCATCCCCACTCTGTCCAGCTCTCATCACTGTCAGACCCATCAGAGCTGAGGGCGGAGGAACTGGGGACTGGGGTAGCCTGGGTCCCCATCCCCCTCTCTGTGCCTCGGTCTCCCCCCTTCCATAGTGAGTGGGGGGAAGCTCCATTCTTAACCTACCTCATTTTGGGAAGGGGTGGGATGGGGGACCAGAGTGCTGTATGGTGCTGTGAGATCTGATTAAGCAGTGGGGACTGGGGAAGGTTCCCTAGTCCCCCTCTCCCAGTACCCCCTCTCCCAAGTCCCCAACCCTGTTCCCTGCTGATACCCACTTCTGATCCATGATTACCTTTCATTGCCCCCATATCTGGGGTGCGTGGAGGGCTGAACCCTGGGATCCAGGAAGACCTCAGACCCTGGAGCCCCCAGTTTTCCAACTGCTTGCCCCTCAGATTGGATGCTTGCCCCCCAGATTTTGGGGGAGGCATGCCAACATTTACCTTCCTGATCATGATTCCAAGCCAGTCTGTGACCTCAATATTGTGTCAGTGCAGGCTGAAGCGGAGGGAGAATGGGGCCCAAAGACCCAGCCAGCCTTGGCATTGGGGGAGGGGGGACATGAGATCTGCTCCAAGAAATGCCTGTGACAGTGTCTTAGCCTGGTTTTTATTTGCATTGGCGCGCTCTGCCCACTTGTTTCCGGAAGTGCTGCACTCCTGTTCTTTCCTTCTTCATCCTTTAGTCCCAGGAGCTAACTGACCATCTAGTTGGGTTTTATTTGTCCAATCACTCCACTGCGTTTACTAAACACCTAGCATGTGTCAAGCCCCGTAGATACTGGTGGTGCTGCAGTGGGCAGCGGACATTTGCATAAAACCCTGCAGGGGAAGGGTTTTGTGGGTGTAGCAGCCAGCACTAGTCTCTAAGGGGGATATATCTGGTAAATTGGGAGTGGAGTTAAGCAAGGGGCAATCCTGGGAGAGGGTGATGGAAAGGTGGCAAGGTGTGCCAGGCTTCTCATGACATTGCATGCATGGGCTTTGTTCCCTGAGCAAGTGAGATGGAGCCACAGGGAGGCTCCCGAGCATGGTGCGGATTTTTACAGGCTAGTTGTAGCTGTGTGGGGAAGACCCCTGGGGAAGGGGTCAAGCCAGTTCCCTGTGGAGGCTGCGGTGGTGCAGGTAATGTGAAAGAAATGGGGGTGGGGGGGGGATAATGGAAGTTTTAAATGAGTCAAGATTTTTTTTTTTTAAGATTTTAACTGCATTTTATGAGTGTTTGCTTGTATGTGTGCCACCTGGTTACCTGGCATCAGATCCCCTGGACTGGAGTTGCAGCTGTTAGCCACTGTGTGATTGCTGGGAACCCAGGTCCTCCATAAGAGCAACAAAATCTCTTACTGAGCCCATAGGTTTATAGGTGGAGTTTAAAAGCAGCGGTAGAATACATGCTTAGCATGAGCAATGGCCTCTGTGCCAAGACATAAAGGGGAGTCAAGGTTAGTAGCTCATGTGTTTGGGGGAAAGATTTAATTATTTGTGGGTACATGCGTGTGAGCTGGAGTTACAAGCGGTCATGAGCTACCCACATGGGAACTTTTTTTTTTTATGTATACAATATTCTGTCTGTGTGTATGTCTCCAGGCCAGAAGAGGGCACCAGACCTCATTACAGATGGTTGTGAGCCACCATGTGGTTGTCAGGAATTGAACTCAGGACCTTTGGAAGAGCAGGCAAATGCTCTTAACCGCTGAGCCATCTCTCCAGCCCCCAAGACTTGGGTTTCTTTCGCAACACCCCATGAGGGTTCACTGCCATCCATAACTCCATAACTCCAATTTCAGAGAACCTTACTTTCATGGGCACAGGACACACATGAGGTTCACATGTACACGTGCAGGTACAAACAATCGTGCACATAAAATAAAAAAGAATTTAAGTTACTCGGTTTCAAATGGAAAACCAATTTGGCAGGAAAGTGTTGGTTAATGGTGAAAGGCCTGCCTGCCTCTCTAAGATGGTGCAGTTTCTGGGCGGCGCTGGTTTCTCCTTTCAAAGGCTCAGAGAGGCAGAGGTCGGATAGCACAGTGGTGTGATGTGAAAGGAGAGCCTAGCTGTAGTGGGAGGGGGGTGTGAACATGTGCTGACATCGTTCTAACCCTCGGATGGAAGAAGCTGGATGAGCTTTTCGGTCTGGGGTCTAAGAGCAAAGGGCAGTCGGGCGTGCCACACGCCTGTCAACCAACACAAGGAAGGAGGAAGCAGGACCAAGAGGCCAGGCTGAAATACATACATATCGAGACCCTGCCTCAAGAACAAACTAAATTTTAAGAAGCAGAGAGTGGGAAAGAAAAACGGGTTGCCGTTTGTTTTTATGTCCCCAAGGGCAGGGACACGCGAGCCTCCCCCGACCTTGGGGATCCTAATCTCAAGCTGTAAAATTTACAACCCTGGACAAGTTACCTGAGGGGCGCACGTGGCGGGCTACTGAGCCAATCGGAGCGCCGAAGCTCCTTCGCACGAGAATGTGATTGGATAGAGGCCGGGTGGGCGGGAGGAGGCGCCCTCGGGGCGGAGCCTGTCCCAGGCTGAAAGGGGTGCGCGCCCGGGGTCCCCAGCCGAAGCTACCATGGATAGGGCCACAGTGGCCGGCGACCTACTGACTTTGGGGTAAGGTGTGGTTGGGGGTACGGGAAGGGCACACTCGCTCCGGGACGCGGACGCAGATGGAGTCGCACTGACGCGTGCCCCGCCGCAGGTACGGTGCCCTCCCGGAGGCGGCGTCCCGGGGCCCCGCGTGTGCGGACTTCAGGGCGCTGTGCGCGCGGCTGGCGGCCGAGCTGACGGCTCTGGGAGCTCTGGAGCGGCGAGAGGAGGGCACCGCAGTACTGGGCGCTGGCCACGGTGCGTGAGGATCTGGGTGGACGGCGGGTGGAGCCCGGCACCTGCCGCTCCCTTGATGGCTTCCTCGTCCCGCAGGCCCGGACGCAGAAGAAGAATTCCTGCGGCAGTTGACCGGCCTGCTGCGGGCGTTGCACTGCCCGGATCGCGCGCTCTGCGGCGGAGACTGCGCCACAGTGCTGCGGGAGCCCGGCGGCGGCCTGCGCCTGCTGCGTGAGCCTGAAAGGCCCCGGGAGGCGGGAGTGGGCGGGGCCCCGGAAGTGGGTGGGTTCAGATCTGAGACTGGGCCCGGGGGCGTGGCCAAACCTTTGAGGGTCTCCTGAAGGCCGCCGGTAGGTGGGACCGGCTTAGGGCTGGGCTAGAATTCTGAGGAAGGCCTCTGAAAGCTTTACTGAGTTGAGAAGTGGGCTGGAGGAGGAGGAGCTGCAGCCTTGAAGTGGGTGGGCTTACTCTGGGGGATCTGTTCCTATTTTTAGGGTTTCTTTGCTCCGAGCTCCAGGCTGCCCGCCTCTTGCATCTGCGGCCCCAGCTACATGCTAGGCCTGTACAGTCCTTTGGAGAAGGGACAAAGGAGGGAAATGGCGTGGTTCAAGAGCTGATGCTAACTCTTCAAGCACTGGGGCTCCCTAGACCAGTTCGTGGAACCCTGGCCAGCCAGCTACTTCGGGAGTTTCAAGAGAAGGTAGAGAGACAGTCACCTCTTGAGCTACCTTACTTGGCGGGAGACTCCTGTCTTCAAAGCCATCTCTAGAATAACCCAATGACAGGGATGGTTTTAGAACTTTGGTCGCCATTTTATTCTAACTTGCTTTTTTGCTGTGATGTAACACTGCCCAAAACCAGTGTGAGGAGGAAATTCCAGCCCATCATAGAGGGAACTCCAGGCAGGAACTGAAGTCGAGACCATGGGGGAATACTGTTTACTAATTCATTTCTGACTTGTTCAGCTACCTTTTGTTTTGTTTGTGTGTGTGTAGCCCACGGCCATGTGCCCAGGAATGGCACTGCCCATAGCAGGCAAGGCACTCTTACATTAAATAGCAGTCAACAGGCATGCCTACAGACCAGTCTGAGGGATCATTTCCTCAAGTTGAGATCCCCTTTTCTCAGGTCTCTCTAGATTTGTGTCACATTGACAAAAGCCGTTAACACCGTTGTTGCCTCTGAGGCCCTGGGGAACTGGAGTACTTAAGAAGGTCCTTTCTGTTTGTGTCTCATTGGCTCCTGATTGCTTCCACCAGATCTCTGAGCTGCTGCCTCGCCTGCCGCCAGAGTCCATGCAGCCCCTCCTCAGCTCCCCGCTGGATGCGTCACGATGGGTAAGAGCATGTATAGATGCCTGTGAACAGTATCCTCACCCAGAGATGCCACCCGTGCTGTGACCAAGATATTTTCTCCTAGGAAGCCCTGGAGACCTTGTCCCAAAGCCTGACAGAGCAGTATTGCTGCCGCCGCTGCCTGCTTCTGAAGCGTCTGGATCTTACGACATCTGCCTTCCACTGGGGTGACCGGGCAGAGGTGTGGGGACCTTAGCCAGAATAAGCAGGGCGTTGGGAAGCACAGCAGCAGGGTGGAGGGGCAAGGGAGAGAGACCATCTTAGAACCTTGTGAGATTGTTTTTATTTGATGTGTTTTGCTTACATGTATATGTGCATCATGTGTGTGCAGTATTCACAGAGGCCAGCAGGGGGTGTCAGATCCCTTGGAAGCAGAGATGGAGATGGTTGTGAGCTTCCATGTGGGTACTGGGAACTGAAGCCAGGTCTTCCAAAGAGCAGTCAGTTCTCTCAACTGCTGAGCCATCTCTCCAGTGCACATTTAGGGATCTTTTCTAAAGGATTTATTCATTTTTCCTTTATGTGTATGTTTTTATGTGTGTGTGTGTGTGTGTGTGTGTGTGCGTGTGTGTGTGTGTGCACGCGCGTGCGCGCATGGCTGGTGCTTGCAGGGTAAGGGAAGGGCATCGGATCCCCGGGAACTGGAGTTATAGAGGGCTGTGAGCTGCCCTGTGGGTGCTGGGAACTGAACCCTGGTCCCCTGCAAGAACAGTCCGTTCTCTTAACTGCCCAGCCGTCTCTCCAGCCCACTCTTTAGAATCTTAGAGTTCAAGATTTCTTGACTCTCAGGGCCTCAAGGGCATTCTAGAATGTTCTCCATGGGAGTGTCTTCAGAACTATTCCCCAGTGTAATAAAATGTAGTTAAGACTATCTTAATTGTTGTCAATACAAGGTACCCGGAACTGGGTAGGAAAATTAGGTTCATTTTGGCTTATGGTTTTGGAGGCTGAAACACATGGAAGCTTGGGCAGGTTGTGGGACTTGCATGCGTCTCCTCCAAGGTCAGTCCCTGTGACCTTGATATGTCACCAAAGGTCGCTCTCTCACATGGTCAGCCACTTTTAAGATTTTGTTTTTGCCTCTTAACTTGGTGGCTGAGGATGACCTTGAACTTCTGACCACTTAGCCTCTGCTCCCCTAGTGCTGAGATGATAGTTCTTGTGCCACCATGCCCAGCTGTCTGTCACACCACAATGCTCCTTGGTGAATGACCCCCTCTGAAGCATACAGAGGCCCTGGGTGGGGACGAGCTCTTGGGCTCCTTGTCCATGGATTACCTTTCCCCCACTCCAGGCCCGAGGAGAAGCCATGAAGGCAGTGCTGTTTCCAATCCGAGGACTTCTGACACCAGAATCTAATGTCTCTGTCGCACATGTTCTGGCTGCCCGAGCTGACCTTTCCCGTCTGGTCCCAGCTACTAGTGTGGCTTCCCGCCGAGGGACCAGCTGTGCCATCAACAAGGTGTGCCCATCTCGGGCAGGGGAGAATCTGAACATCCTTGGCCTTCAGATTGGTCTTCTGGGGTTTCCCCTGGTTCTTGGCCTCTGGAGTTAACTGGGCACAAACTAACCACTCTCCGTAGCAGAAGGAAATTTTCTAATTTTTTTTGAGATAGTCTCATGTAGCCCAGGCTAGTCATGTAGCCAACTCATTATGTAGCAAAGAGGTCGGCCTCGAACTCCCAGTCTTCCTCCACTTCCCAAATGCTGGGATGATGGGATGCATGAGCACACCCCTGCTTTCTTTTTAAATCTACTGAAACTCAAGTCTAATCAACTTTCAGGTGCTTATGGGTGATGTGCCAGACCGTGGGGGGCGCCCAGATGAGCTGGAGGCACCCATGCCTACCTGGAGAAGCCGAAGTGAAGATGGAGGAAGGGGAAAGGCTGGCCAGCAGCGCTGGGGTCGCAGAAAGAAGAAGAAGTAAAGGGTCTTGGAGGGTCGGTCAGAGGCTCTGCTGGGTTCTGATGCTGCCAGTAACCTTTGAGAGTCACTGGGAGGGTTTTCCTTGGTGCCTAAGCCAGGCATTCCCTGTTGTAGAGAGTCCCTGAGCTTCCTACACCCACCCATCCCTTAACACTATGAACCATGTTGTCTGAAAAATAAATTTAATTCTTTTGATGGTTATAGAATCTGTTTCTGTATAGGGACCAGCTCAAGGTGTGTGTGTTTGTGGAGGGGCAAGGGGGAGTTTCTGCCCCCAGGTCAGGATAAGCTTTTTGCTTCTCATGTGGGTGTGGGGAAAGACACATTGAAACATTGGACACACACTTTACAGGTCTAGGCATCTGGGACACAGCGGGTATTATGGGTAAACATCTCTGCCTTTTGGGAGCTCTTTCCGGGAGGAAGAACAGACAGACGTTCAACAAGGCCAACAGGTGAAATGTCTAGTTCATTAGAGGACCAAAGCACCATGGAGAAAGAGAAAG